ATATATATTTATTTATTTATTTATTTGGGTAACTTCGATTTTTTATGATTTGGACTTTACAAAATTTCTAACTTTTGAACAGAAGGTAAAATGGGAACATAAAAACTCAATAATTTTAGAACTCCCCATAAATTATTTCAAAATGTAGACCATCCCTTTGTGAGTTCCTAGTTAAATTTCCTTTTGAACTTTGATCTTCAAAGCAAAAAAATTTTGATGCAGGTGGAACCAAACCAATGACCATGGCACGAGTCACGTAAGCATTGTTGATAAGGAGAGAAATGCAGTTGCCTTGACTACCACTATTAACAATAATTTTGGAGCATTGTTTCGGTCTGTAAAAACAGGCATAGTACTCAACAATCAGATGCATGACTTTTCCATCCCTTCAAATGATAGCACCATGCCTTCCCCTCCTGCAAACTACATTGAGCCGAACAAAAGGCCAATGTCCTCCACCATGCCCACCATTATCCTCGAGGTCTATCCCCCTCTTTCACTGTCATATGAGAATTACCTTCAAAATCCTCTCTCTCTCTCTCTCATATGAGAACGACTTTAAAATCCTCTCTCTCATGTATGATAATGAAGCCAAAAGTGATCTAAATATGGACCCTAAAATTTTTATTAAAATACGAAATGCTCCATTTATATGGAAAAGTTACAAAGAATGTCGGCTAACCCATTTTTTTTTTTTTTTTAAATTGCCCCTCGATCCGAGGATTGAATTTTAATTTCAATTTTTTTAAGACCGATGGGCAATTCGGTGATCCTAAGATCGATGGGCAATTTTTGAAAGACATGTAGATCGACATTCTTTGTAATTTTACCTATAAATAGATCATTTTTTTATTTTAGCAAAAAATTTAGAATCCATATGTAAATCACTCTAGAATCATAGTTTTGGAAAGGTAACAATAGAAATATGAGTAATGATCCTATGAGACCCTCTCACACCCATGTGTGTAGAACTTCAAACGATCACCAATAAATTTAGTACAGATATCTAGAATTATTACATGCATGCGGGATTTGACTTTTTTAGATATCTGTATCAAATTTAATAATAATCTTTTAGGATCCTACACACATAGGTATGGGAGGGTCTCATAGGATTATTACTCTTTCATTATGAGGTATTCCTATTGTTACATTCAATACACATTTTCTTGCTTGTTAAATATTCTAAAAAACAAAAGAGCAATATTTCTACTTTTGTCTTTTCAAAACTAGGATTCTTGAATTTTGGTTTTATTATATGAGAAATACTTCAAAATCCTCTCCCTCTCTCCCTCTCTTTCCACCCCTAAAAAAAAAAAATCCCGAAGGGAATCTTCTATGAGAATTACTTTCAAAATCCTCTCTCTTTCTGTCATATATGAGAATTACCTTCTTACTATTACAACATTTCCCATCCATGTTATACAGAATGGACAACTTAAGGGTGTGATGGGTGCAAGTGGAGGATTGAGAATAGTTCCTGCAAATATACAAGTCTACTTGAACCATTTCATTCACCGAATGGATCCATTCGAATCGATTCTGGCACCTCGACTCTACCATGCAGTAAATTTCTAATCACCTGCTAATCTTCATCCATGTTTTAAATTTTTTAGGGCCTTTATGGATGAAAAATAATCATATAAGGAGTTTACTATCCAAAATTAATACTCTATATTATTAGTTGTTAGATGTATATTTTATATTATATTTTTAAAAAATTATGGATACCTCCAAATTTAAATTTGTAGACATCTTCCTCGAACACTCTATTGTGTTCTTAGTGCCTAGATATTGTAACATAAAATTAAGTTGTTTTTCAGCTTGTGCCCAACATTTTGGAATTTGAGAAGTGGGACACAGTGAGCGGCTATCACATTGAAGTACCCCTAGAGGATAGGGCAGCCCTGGCAAAGAAGGGCCATGTCCTACAAGCCTTAGCATTTGGGGCCAAATGCCAATTTGTGGTTCACCACCTCCCCCGTTGGCCACAGGGAGAGACCGTTGTCAAAGCAAAACTCACTGGCGTAAGTGACCCTAGAAAGGAAGGTGAACCTGCTGGTTACTAATATGTGCCGCTGCTGCCACTCTCTCTCTCTCTCTCTTTTATTTAAGCTGGAGGATGTTGGTTCATGTGTGCATTCGTCAACGTGCTTTAATGGCGACCCTTCTTGTTTCTCTCTCTAGAGTCCATCTTTGGTAATAAAGCCGAGTTTACATTCTAATGCCATTTAATTACCGAAATTATAAAATTATCCGCTCTATTTTCATTTTTATGCTAAAGTCGACCTTTTCAGTATTATTATTATTCTTTTTGTCATTCTACTTCTGTTTGGATGTTGAAAATTTGGATTGCTATGCATAGACTTGCAATTTGGATTTTTTTTTTATATAAAATTAGAATTCCATCCAATGCACTTGCCATTAATGCGTCCGACTAATAATTAGAAATAACAAAAGGAAAAAGCTTATATAAGGATGCTACCTTATAATGTAGAACTACGGATGCCCCTAAAAAATCTATCGGAATAGGTAGTTTTAATGTTGAAAAACCCTTTGATTGATCATCTCGACATCGAGATGTATGACTATGAAAAATAAAATGAATTTAAGTCTCAAAAATAATGCATTTTACAACATACTATCTACACCGTCCATTTTCAAGATTTTCATATGTTTATAGATCTACTTAATTTTAGCCATTTTTTATATTTATAATTTTATAATTAGATATAAAAACAGATTTTGAGATAATCCTAAAAACATTTTGCATCAGAATTATATACCATGATAAAATTTGAAGGTGCACCTTACCTCTACACCTACGGATGCGTCTGTCTGCAAACTGCACCCATAACAAAATATGGAAATTTAATTAATAGAAAAAAGAAGAAAAATAGCAGGAAAATAACTGTTTATAAACACACTTTTTTATTAAAAATTGACCCAACATTTCTCACTCAAAGTAACACCTTAAAAAAAAAACAAATAGAAAATTGAGAAAATTATAAACACTCTCAAAATCAATTTTTTAGACATCCTACCTCAAAACTTTTTATATCCTATCCTAAACTCCAATTATTTTTTTTCTTATATTTATCTTCCTAAGTAAAAAAGTCAATGGATTTAAAACAAAAATGCCGTTACTCTCTCCCTTCTTTATTTTAGGTCAAGTGACTCTATCTCTCGGTGCCCACACACTCTCTCTCTCACAAAGTAAAAACTCATTCTCTCTCTCATTCTCTCTCTCATTCTCTCTCTCTCTCTTTGTCTCTCTCATTTTTTGTCTCTCTTTCTCCCTCTCTACCCGTCTTCTTTCTTTATCTCTCTAGCTATGGACCAAGATTTTTGCGGTCCAGCACCCAGTATGTCAGACTGGTTAGAATTTGCGCTAAGGCTGGTAATGCGGTCAAGCCGAAAAAATTTTAGGTTCGGCATAAAAATGTGTCGGATCGCAAAAAGTTTCGATCCAGCACCGTGTGTGCTGGACCACATTACATGCCTGAGAAAAGCTTATTGGAACTCAATGCAATCCAACACAATGTGTGTCGGACCACATTACCAACCTTAATCTAAATTCTAACCGATCCGGCATATTGGATGTCAGACCGCAAAAATCTTAGTTAGAGAGAGAAAGATGAGAGAGAGAATAAGAAAGAAAATGGGTTTTTACTTTGGGGGAGAGAGAGTGAGCAGAGAAAGATAGCCTTGTGACTCCAAAATAAAGAAAAAGAGAGAGAGTAAGGCATTTTTGTCTTAAATCTATTGATTTTTTTACTTGGAGCGGTAAGTATAAAGAAAAATAGTTTAGGGTTTAGGGTGAGATACAAAAAGTTTTGTGGATTAAGATGTCTAGAAAGTTGATTTTGAAAAACTTTCATAATTTTTCCTAAAAAATTTAGAATAGGAAAAAAAAATGATAGTCATTCTTTCCATATGCTCTTTAGATAATTTGATAGTCTTCGATTCTCATTCTATGTCCATGAACTCTTCCATTGCAAAATCACGTGATTATTTGTATGGTTTTCACATATCGATGTACTATTCTTTTGTATATTTACAATATTACTTACATGAACGCTTATTGTATATCCACGTACTCTTCGATTGCACATTTACACGAGTATTTACATAATTAGTTATTTCATTTCTATGTGCAAGGCATGTGAATGGTGATCCCTAGGTACTAACAAGTGTGTGATACACAACACGTTCAAAAACCAAGTGCCCTGCATTTTTTTTTTAAACAAGAACCCGGTGCCCTGCTTAATACAAAGGAAACTTGTTTCATGCAGCAGGGACCGCATTTCTACATTTGTAGTCCCCGAGGTATAAAGCATCCATTTTAAAAATGGATGCGAATAGGTGGTCCATTTAAAAACAATTGAAACTACCGGTCCAAATGTTTTTTTAATAGAATTATTATTTTTAATTTATAAATTTTATTTATTTATTTATATTCATGACCAGCATGTTAGAAATTATATTTCCTTTAAAATTAAGTCCAAAAAATTTATCATAAGAATAAATTTTAAGAGGTGACTCATTTCATCGTGGAATCATAGAAACCGTTTCCTTGTTATAATCATAGAACTTTTCTTTTCCGAAAAAATTAAGTACATACATGTTTTTTTTATCATATGGGGAGTACCTCACGGTTTTTTTCCCCGAATTCCTTAATGATATTGGGATTAAATGTGGATAAAAAAACAAAGATGTTGGGATTAAATACAAAAGGGTTCGTACTCCTACAGGACTATAGTGCAAGTTTACTGCATCAATAAAAAATTACTTTAGGATTTTGTCCTTTAAAATTTTGGGAACCAACTAATTATCACTACACTATTATATTCAAAACTTAAATTTCGAAATTTGAGTTTTCTAATGCTTAGATCATACCCTCTAAAAATTGGACAGACTCTATTCAATTATGAGACACTATCGATTTAGATGTGTAGAGGATGCAATTGGGAGTATTTTTATTGAGGTTAATCTATGGGTTGAACATGTAATAATCTCCAAATTTAGGTTACTTAAATTAATCCTAAGTGTAGTTTTACCTTAGGAAATAATTGAACAGTTTACTCCCGAGGGAATATAAATTATTTGGATAATTAAAGTAAAAAGTATCCCTCACACCTTTCTTGTATTTAACAATGGAAAATGTTTCTATGCTTCCCTTATAGCATAGAAGTTATATCCTCCACCTACCATCCATCCGTCCAATTTTGATCAAGAAAGCCACTCACCATTTGATCTTAGACCCAACATTTGAACGTATTTTATTTTTAGTTTTTTTTATGAAAATTGTATGAATATAAATTTAGTGTGTGCCATCTTCTCATTGGGGCACACCTATAAAAAATATTAAAAATAATTTTTCGATAAAATATAATGACCAAAATACCCCTTGAAGCTTTCAGGGGTATTTTGATCATTTTATTTTATTGAAAATATTTTTTTTTATATTTTTCTTTAGTGCAAGTTTAATAGAGGAATGGACGTTCAAAATTTGGTGTCAATATTGTCTATAGAAAAAAATTAAAAATAAAATAGTGTAGAAACATGACATTGTGATTGGGGCAATCTTAGCCCTTCATTCAGAATGGACGGTTGGATAAAGGGGAGGGTAGAACTTCTATGCTGCAAGGGAAGCATAGAAAGTTTGCCTTTTAACAATTGGTACCCTTTTTTATATGTTTGCTCCGTGGATTCTTTTATGGGTAGCACGTGAAAGTTTACATGAACGCAAACAAATTCATCCGTATTACACTCTCGTATTATGCCTTATGGGCTCTTCAACCACAAGTTGTGTGGATGAAGCCAGACCTTCAGCAACCTGACTACTTCCGTTGACTACATCTTATCTAGGCTCATCATGTGCAACTTCGTCATTAACTTAACGTTGTAAATTTTCCATCCGGGCTTCTATATCATCCATTTCCATATGCACAAACTTCAACAACATTTCAAACACGTTGTTAACGTGATTATAAACTTCAGGATACTACTTCTATCTAAGTGTAAGTGCATGAACTGCACTAACCTGCAAAAACAAGATAGGTAATTATCATTGAACTAATAAGTAAGTACAAAATTAAAAAAAAATTGTAGGTCATATAAACATATAAACTGGTTTTTATAACCTCAAGGTCTTATTATATATTGTGGTCCATATGCAGGAACCATCTCTTTTTCTTCTTGGTTAGCAAGTTGCAATATGTTTTTTGGTGGGTTAGCGCTAGTATAGATTATAGGATGTGACACTAGGTTGTATCAGGCTTTGTACTCCTCTGAGGGCAATCCATTGGCAGTATCCATTTCAATGTCTGGCATCATTCGCTCATATTGGGTCAATCAATGATGGATCTTGTCAGAATTTACATTTTTCCAATCTCGTTGCCCACCTTGTCTACTAGACCTCTTACCAACATATATGGGATTTCTTGAAGTGCCGGGACACATGATCTGGCAAATACGACTCGGCAATATCGTCAAATATCAGGGTCGTTAAGCACACATTGCGGTTTCGAATGTCTGCCGCCTATCATCTGAAATGACCTCATCATGCTTGAAATAGAAATTCCATATTACCTGTTATATGATATGAAATCAAACATACAACAATCAGTCAATAAACAACTACAAATACTTAAATACTATTAAAATTAATCAATAATAAATATTGTAATATGAAAGTATCTACTAACCTAATTAGGTTGGAGGTTATCAAATTCTTATCTAATGGAAGGCATCAGGTTATGTGGATTAACATAATAATTCTTTGGTGGCTCTCATCTTTTTGCCCTAGGAATATTTGAAGAGATACTATGTGGTATGGGCCTCATACGTATAATATGCTCATAAGATCAACATTGCATTATATCGAGATATGAGAAGTTTTTTTTGGAAAGTAGTCTAAACTATTATGCTTATGTCATATACAAAAATATAATTTACATGCATAAGAGTGACTGAACCACTAAAATGTCTTCACTTGAAATGACAAGTCTTTCCAAGGGAACGATAATGATATGCGAGGGCTGCAGCACCCCAATCATATCTTCCGGCTTCCTCAATATCCTCGAAGAATTGTAAGTACGTCGTTGACACTGTTGCAATCGATGCATCTGTGAAAATGGTGATGCTGACGAGGAAGAGAATGTAGGCTCGGGTATTTCTAACAACATCAAGTTGTGAAAGTTGGCTAGATGACTGTCAAGTTGCCTCCAGTGGAGACTATTCCCAAATTGTTTTCTATGAACTTTGTTAGGTCACTGATAGGACAACATGTAACAGAGGCGTCATTCACAGCCAGTCCCAATAACTCGTAAACATCAAATAATGTGGTTGTCATCTCATCAATTTGAATATTGTAAAGAAATAAATTGGTCTCAAAATTCCATCTCTTTTCATTGGTTGCGACCAAAGGATGATCAATGTGATATGACCGGATAATAGATAGAGCACCCAACTCAGGCGCATTCACTAATTGAACTTGATGCCAATCGTGTAATTGAAAGTCCTTTCATCAATTATAATTTTTTGTTTTTCCTGATATATAACAAATAGACAACATATGAGTCACAATATATATACATTTACTTCCTATATCATATTTAAACAGACTACAATTTACTGAAAAATAACAAACTAATGGAAAGAGCAAATGTGTATACCATATGAAATATGATGAATGTTCTGAATGTAGCTGTAACAAACTTGGGTCCTGAGGACCTCCTGGGTATCCCCCATCTGGATGGACATCATGTTAATCATAAGATTATATGTGCAAAACTTAACTGAATAACTCATAAACAATAATGACATGCTATTATTAAACAACCGAAAAGATGGTCAATTTTAGACCATAACCTAGTGTTATGGAGCTCTTCAATTCAACCTAATAGTTCTAATACAAGTCCCATAGTTGCCTTATTGTCATTTCCCTCTCTTTACTATTAACAATTACAATAACAAGCACTACTTTATGAAAAGAACATGATAATACAAAGGAATGAATATCGAGATACCAATAACTCATCGTGCATTTACATATAGAATCAGAAACAATGTTCAGTCATAGATTAAACCTCCAAATAGGTAATAACAAATTTATGTATTGAATGAGCTCTCAAACAAATCTAGTGACAAATTATTGTATCTAAAATATTGAAGCATAAAGCATAAAGTTATTTATTTCCTATGTATTCCTAAAACCAACCCTTTCCTAAGATATCACTATATCTATCACAAATTTGTACTTAAGACTACCCAAGGGTATTAATGTTAACACACAATACAATATAATGAAATTTTTGCCTAGCATTCGAAATAAAGCAACACATCAACAATATATGCAAATGTGTTACCTCTCAGACATGATCAATCACAGTTCTGAAAATTTTCTCACATACACAAAATTTCCTCACAGGCACTAAAAAAAATAATAACTAAATTCAACCTCATGTATAAATTTTTAGATTTAAAAACCCCCGAAATTTCTAGTTCTAAAAAGCCCCTAATTTCTAAAATTTTATACAAACATTATCAACGCAAAAATTAACTGAAATTAACGAGAAAGAACTAGTGTGATTGATTATAAACCTTAAATCAAAATCTTATACAAATTAAATTCATAAAATCGACCCACAAATCATTGTATACATACACCTTTACTATAAATAAGAAATCTGTAACCTTCAAAATTTGAAAAATGCTGTCAAAGCCTTGTGATGATACATGAGCTTCTAATCTAATCGAAAGTTAGGGTTAGGTTTTTGGTCAGATACTGTGAGTTTTGAGACGCATAGAGGAGTAACTTTGAGATTCACTTACATAAAGCATAGAACATGAGACACAGAGAAGAGAATGTTAGCGTTTAAACTATTGGAGTCATTTTCGGTTGTTTAATAATCGAAATTCTAGCCATTTCGATTGTTGAACAATTGAAAAAGGGTGAAAATATATATTTTATAAAATTTCGTTATGAAGTGAAAAAAATGGACATTCCAATAATAACGAAAAATATTAAGT